AAGAGCCAGTGTCCGTAACATCCAAAACAACCAAATGGACAACCAAACACCAGGCTGTGCACACAGCAGGCTCGGGTGGGTAGGGCTGAACTGCTAACCTCTCGATCCCTCCTGGTCGTGGGCGCCGTGGTGACCCAGCACTGACTGCTGCCACCAATGTGGGTGCAATGCAATTGGTTGGGGGGCCCCACCATCACCCCACAATCGCCCTGCAGAGGGAGGCCCATGCCACTGGCCTGTGTGCTCCGCAATCACTCCAAAGAGGGCGGTGGTGGACGTGGCCTCCCTCTGTGGGGCAATCAATCGCGGGGCTCCTGGACTGCGAGAGGGCACAGGCTGGGCTGAAGGACCCTCCCCCCCAAGTGCGCAAATTTTGTGCACCAGGCCTCTAGTCTATAAATATATAATAGGCTAAGTGACCAACCGTATGTCCGTCCAACCGTCTGACTGACTGGCTGGTTCATGCGCACTGGCAATTTAAAAATAAACATTGACTCGTGCATGCATGATACATATAAAGCTCTCGCTGGTGCCAATCACACGCATGCATTTTGATCTGTCATTGTTGATTGTGAATTTGGTTGTTTTATTGACATTCTGAAGATGAAAGAAAGAGGCGGCATCGATGAAATATGTCTAAAAACCAACTATTGGCACAACTACCTCTGAAGCCAAAAGAAGCTGGCATTGTCAACAGAATATATCTGAAGACCAACTATTGGCACAATGTACCATTTGAGTGACGATTCCATCAATTCAGTGGATGATGCTGAAAAGGAAAATTTTCCCATCAAATTTCTTAATAGTATTACTCCTTTGGGAATGCCATGTCATAGAATTAAAATTGAAAGTAGGTGCAATCATCATGCTATTGAGAAATCTTAATAGAAAATGGAGTCATTGTAATGGTACTAGATTTATTATCACAAGATTGCAACCTAACATAATCGAAGCTGAAGTATTAACAGGATTTGCAGGAGAGGTTGTTCTGATTCCAAGAATTTATCCCTGTCTAACACTGGCCTCCCATTTAAATTAATTCGAAGACAGTTTCCCATGGTGCCAGCATTTGCAATGACTATTATTAAATCACAAAGAAAAACTCTAGACACAGTAGGAATATTCCTACCTGAACCCATTTTCAGACATGGTCAGTTATATGTTGCTTTCTCTAGAGTTCGAAGAGCATGTGACGTTAAAGTTAAAGCTATAAATACTTCATCACAAGGGAAATTAGTCAAGAACTCTGAAAGTGTTTTTACTCTTAATGTGGTATACAGGAAGATATTAGAATAAGATTAATCAATTTATTAGTCATTGTTTTTACCAATGCTGTTTTTATGTTTTTGTTGTATTTATTTCATGTTTTTATTGTTTTTATACCATATCTTTGTTGTTGTTATATCATGTTATTATGGTTTATTTATTAATCAATTAATATATTATTTTCATATACATTTTACTAATTTTCTTTCATCTATGACACTTCTATTATAGAGAAAGGGCAAATAGTGGTATTAAAATATTTCTTCTAATTAATTTCCTTTCAATGTGCACAAATCCATGCACTGGGCCACTAGTTAATAAAAATAGCTTCCATTGATGAGTTGCTTATTCTGTGCCTGCACTATAAAATGCATTTACTACATTTATACTTATTATCTTACTTAATTTCTCTAAGACACTATGAAGTAACTATTATCTTCACTCTTCAGTTATAGAAATTGAGGATTAGAGAGATTATTTTTTAAATGTTTTTAATTTCTAAGAGAGGAAGGGAGAGGGACAGAGAGATAGAAACATCAATGATGAGAGAGGATCATCGATTGGCTGCTTCCTGCCCCACTGCAGATCAAGCCCAAAACCCGGGCATGTGCCCTGACCGGAAATCAAACTGTGACCTCCTGGTTCATGTGTTGACACTCAACCACTGAGCCACATTGGCCGGGCTAGAGAGACTTTTTTTTCAATTACAGTGGACATTCAATATTATGCTAGTTTCAGGTGAACAGCATAGTGGCTGGACATTTATATAACTTATAAAGTGATCCTGTCGCTAAGTCTAGTATCCACTTTACACCATACATAGTTATTGAGTATATTCCCTATGCCCGTGGTCGGCAAACTGCGGCTCGCGAGCCACATGCGGCTCTTTGACCCCTTGAGTGTGGCTCTTCCTAAGCCTTAGGGTACCCTAATTAAGTTAATAACAATGTACTTACCTATATAGTTTAAGTTAAAAAAAATTTGGCTCTCAAAAGAAATTTCAATCGTTGTACTGTTGATATTTGGCTCTGTTGATTAATGAGTTTGCCAACCACTGCCCTATGCTATACTTTATTATTTCACATATATGTGGAATCTAAAGAATAAAACATGAGTAAAAAGAGCAGAAACAAGCACAGAGAACAAACTGATGGTTACCAGATAGGAGGGGCAGAGGGTTGGGGAATTGGGTAAAAAAGGTGAAGGGATTAAGAAGTACAAACCAGCAATTACAAAATAAGCATAAGGAATAGAGAGATTTTTAATACACTTGCTCAAAGTCATATAGCTTGTAAGTCAAAAAAGTAGATTTGAACCAAGATCTGCTTCAATACAAAGCTCTTTAAAAGTTTGTATTTCTTGCCCAGCCAGCATGGCTCAGTGGTTAAGCGTTGACCTATTAACCAGGAGGTCACAGTTCGATTCTCCATCAGGCCACATGCCCAGGTTGCAGTCTCAATCCCTAGTGTAGGTTATGCAGGAGGGAGTCAATCAGTGATTCTCTCTCATCATTGATGTTTCTATCCTTCACCCTATCCCTTCCTCTCTGAAATCAATAAAAATATTTTTTAAAAAAATTTATATTTCCTCATTTTAGCTTTATGGCATCCTCATGAAGTGGGAAAGGTTTTAGTAATCCCATTTTAAAGATGAGAAAACATTTATCCAAAGTTTCAGTGACTTAACAAAGATTTTGGACAGTAACCCTGCAATTCCATTCTACTCAGAATCCATCCCATTGTCTTTCTATGGTACCAGAAACTACTCACATCAAGAGGGAAAGCCAGAATACTCTAATTATCCTTCAGAAAGAAGTATAAGTAGTCCAATCCATGCAGTTTTAAGTTGTTCTTTGCTACATGGGTAGCATTGCATTCAAATATTAAAAATCTACCCTTTACCCAATTGAGAATGCAGATGGTTTGGAACTTCAAAGCCAAGCTGGCAATGACCCACATTTAAGAAAACTCCTCTCCTGAACTCTCTCAAAGCCACATCATACTAGTGATGGTTGGAACCTTGAGCAGGCTCCCTTGAGCACTTATCCATTTAAAACTAGCAGTTATGTTGAAATCACTGATGACTCAGCAGACATGAAAGTCCAGTGGAATCCCTCTCCACAGCCCTGTCCACTCTCAAGTCGCCTCCTTGGCGATTCACCTTCTTTGAACTTCTGCCATATTGGTTAATCACCCTAGTTAGTTGAGTGTGTCCAGTCCCCGGTACCTCTGCTTGCACAAAACTCTGGGAATTGTAGTTCTGCTGTAAATGATCAGAAAGTCACATCACCATCTGTACAGTCACATCCTCAGGTTCCTCCTGGGTAAAATAATATTAATAAGCCTACTTGACTTCATTATGGGGATTAAATGAGACAATGAATCAAAAGGCCATAGTATAGTACATTGTAAGTAGTCAATAAATATTAGCTAGCCAATATTATATTGCATTATATTATACAAGGTGTGGCAAAAGTAGGTTTACAGTTGTTCATATGGAAAATGATACAATAATTAATAAATAATAATACAAGAATAAACTCTGTTTTGTGTATTCACAACTATAAATCTGCTTTCGCCCCACCATGTATAATCACTAAAATATAATATTATTCTTATTGCTTCTGAAGAGCAGTTTAAGTATATTGAATTTAATTAAGAAGAGTATGACTAATCATACATGCAATTGTATATTTTTTTTTAATCCAGAATTGGATCCTTTTCTCAGCCAACAATGGTTTAAGAAGGAAAAAGACAAAAGGTAGGGTTATTCATATAGTCAGATGGGATCATGTTGTGCCTGTGATGCCTGAATGGATCAGGAAAAGAAGGCAAGGCTGAGAACCACTTACCTGGATTAGAGGGAGGAAAGGCTTGCATGAAGGGGTTGTGTTTTTGAGACCTTTTTTCCTTTACTCACAGAATCCCTACATATAGAGAAAGGGCAAATAGCAAAATTGCTAAACATATTCACCACAAGATGAATAAGGTATATATACTAAAAGAAATCCAGTAGTTGGTTTCAATTCTCCCCTACTCAACCTCACCCAAGAAGGAAGGTAAATAGTCAAATACTGTGTTCATAAGGTACTTGGATTTTTCTTTCTTTTGCTTTTTCCTCTTCAGTGTGGTTGTAGTATTTATTTGAAATATAATTGGGTTCATTTGTTTCCACTTATTTCCAGTTTTAGGTTTTTCTTTCCCTTCTCATCTTGCTTTAATTTTATTTTTGAAAATGTAGAACATTAACATGTTTCCAGTGGGGGGCATGCAGGAGATAGCTGATCAATGATTCTCTCTCATCACTGATGTTTCTGTCTCTCTCTCCCTCTCCCTTCCTCTCTGAAATCAATAAAAAATATTAAAAAAATAAACAACTCAGTGTGGTCTGGTCAACATCATGTGGAAACCATCCCAGACCTTCAGACTCCGTAGTTTACAAAGACACTCCCCCACCAGATGATTCTTATGCTCAGTCATAGAAGCACTGACCTGAATGCCTTAGAAGGCATACAGGCCTCTGGTAGGTACCCTAGAGTGGCCCCTGTCCTTCTGGGAGTTGGGGGAGGGGAGAGGGCGCAGCAGGGAGATCCCTGCCTGCCACTGTGATGTCACAGAGTAAACCTCATGTGTCAGCCAGCCCCACCCTGACTGGTGTACTAGCTGCAGGACATCCTTTCCATCCTCTCCAGACCACCTTACACCACCTTAGCACTCTGCAGGCAAGAGGGAGCCTGATTCATCTTCACACTAGATACTCATTCCATTCAACCAGTTAAAACAGAGAAGATAAACTGAAACATCTTTGACTCAGAACTTCAAGTGAATGAACAAGTCCTCTCAACTGACTCAAAATGTTTGTCCCACCCAGAAGGTAAGTACCTTTATTTTTGACATCTCATGACTACCTCTTGTGTTATCCCTTCTCTCATGTGTATCCCGGAATGTTGGATTTGTAATACAGGTTATACAAATTCACCAATTTATTTCACGAGCTTATGGTAAGGAACTTGAGAACACACTATAGGATTACACAAAATGGAATAAAAATATATTACTCAAGCCCAGTTTTTATTGATAAACCCGGAGATGTCCATACCGTGGCCTCTTGCTCTTTCATCCTCTTCTATGAAAATGTCCATTTCTTCTTCCTTTGCCTCTTCATCTTACTTTTCCTCTCTGTTCCCAGGGCTGCTTACAGCCCCTAGCTTTTCTTTTTTCCCTCCATCTGTATGATTCCCGTTGCCAAAATCTGGCTCCTACTCAAAGACCCAGTGGTGGTGGGAACGAAAAAGATGCATATGACCCTACTGAACTGAAAGAGTAGATATTAAGTTCTCTTCCAAAGAATGATGAGGTACCCCCATGGTCCTGCTGGAAGCCAGCTCCGGCCTGGAATCTGCTGGAACTAAGGAGAGCATAACCTTATGCTCTTTTGTCTCAGAGAATCTGAGAGAATCTGCAGGGGTCCTCCCAGACCTTGGAAGACCCTCACGGCCAGCAAAGATGTCTTGGCTTGCTTAGGTAAGAGCCTATATCTGAAAGTAACTTGCCTCCCATTTGAAAAAGTTAGGGACTACCAACCTTCAGCTCAAAGGGTTCCTAAGAAAGAGTTTTCATTATCATATATCTTGCCATTCTCAAGAGAGAAAAATGAAGCTTACTGTTAGCTAGAGAAATACACGCACAGAGCAATGTGGCGTGCTGCTCGTTGGCTAGAAGTTAGGGATCTCAGAAGAAAGGATAAGATAGGGCCTAAGAAGGGGACACAGTGGGACTGCAGAGCAGAGCTAGTGATTGAGGAGCCATCAGTGTGGGCTCAGACTGCTCCCTACCTGAGAAGCAGCCCCAAAGTGAATAGATGGTCAACTGAAGAATCCTCAAAAGTGGGTAAGAATATGATAGAAAGGACCAGCCAGAGTAAATTTTATTTGCCACTGGCTTATGAGGAGAGGCTCGGGGAATGTGGGAGAGTCTGGTTATCAGTCTTTACCTGAAGTATAAAGTACACGTAACCCATTGCCTCATTCTGGGTGAGTTTCCACCATCCGGCCTGCAAAGTGAACCATGTGATAAGGTGGCCCTGCCTTCCCCTTTTCCCGAGGGGCAGCCTGCGGATGAGTCAGGCGCATTTACTAGCTTGGCCTTGCGCAGCCAGCTGCTCCGAATCTGATTCCTCAGGTGCTGAGGATGCGAGCAGGTGCTGGTGAACAGTCTGGCAAGGTGTCTGGTACACAGTATGGTTCCCTTCCTCAGCTCGTTCTCCTAATTTAACTCCGGAAATCGTCCCTTGGTGAGAAAGGACTAGAACTCAGGTCTGCTTAGGGATTCGTGGCCCCAAAATATCACAGAAGTGAGGCAAAGACACAGCCTGGCTTTAGAACAGGAGCTAGGGACCAGGAACGATGGGCGCAGGGAGGTGCCTGACACTGGGACCCACAGGCCCGGGTAGGAGAACTCCTCTGGTGACCCGGCCCCAGCACTCCCTGCCGCCCGCCCCACCGAAAGGCGTCGCTCGCAGCCCCCGCCCAATTCGGCGTCCAGGTGGCGGCGCCCCCGGCCACGCCCCATCGCGGCCTTGGCCCCAAGACCGCCCGCCCTCCGGCTCGCTCTCGAAGGTTCCTTCTCTGGGAGGGGCCGCGCGACGCGGTTCTCCACAGACGCGGGAGGGCGGGAGGAAGAAAGGACCCCCGCTCCCCGCCCCGCCCTCCGGGAAGTCCTGGCCCCGGCCGCTAGGGCGGGACCAGCCAAACAATGCAAAACACTCTCCGGGCGCGTCGCCGTGGTAACGCGCGCCCGTTGCTAGGCGACCCGGCGCCGTAGTAAACCGCGTGCGGGGTGTTACTCATCCAGGGAGGGGGGAGATGGGGAGCTGGCGGGGACTCGGCCGGGCTCCCGCACCCAGACTGCTGGAGGAGGGGTGGTAAGGGGAGGAGGGCAGGCAGGAATAGAAGGGACGAGGGCGGCTCACCAGGAACGGAAATGGGGCGGCCCCGCCGTGCCTGCCCGCAGCCGCGCCCTGAGCGCCCCTCCAGAGGCCACTGGCGTTGGGCCCGCAGCCCTGCCCCGCCCCGCGTCCCGGAGAGCCCAGGGCCCAGCAGGCCCGAGGACTCCGTGATCCGCGCGTGAGCGATTGCCCCACAGGATGTGCAAATGTGGCTGACCCGCTGATTCACTCCAGATGCTTGGGACATTGAATAAGGCGGCTTCCTCTCCTGGAAATGACTGCTAGAGCTAAAGCCCTCAAACAATTACATTAAAAAGCGGAAAGGGAAAGGCGACGCACAGGAGAGGCCCCCAGATGCTTTTCTGTGGTCCTTCCCACTGAACATAAGTAGAAGTGTTCCCAGAACTTGGGACCCACGTTAGGAAGAAAGGAGTCGTTTTCATTCTGTGAGCATTTGAGGCCATGTGGACATTAAACATGGTTACAGTTGAGACTGACCCGAAGCTGGGACATCCCAGAGCTAAGCGTCCAAGAGTGACGTGAATATTTTGGACACTCAGCATGGGCATGTTGCTGGCATTACTCTTCCCTTCCAGTGTCAAAATGTCTTGTGTGAAGACCTTCTGTGATCTTCATCGGTGAACACTCAAATATGAGGCACTGAAGTTAAAAAATATATAATTATAGCAGCACTATCTCAGATGCTTCAAGATACATCACCCATAAGGGCTCCAATCCCTAGGGAATCACCGGGCTTGGGAAAGGACAAAACATTTCCCAACTGTCTCTGGCTTTTGAGCAATGTGTTTGTACCCTGGTCTCTGTGAACTAAAGATAATACTTGTTCATGAGATCATTGCTGTTATCGGGGCTTTGGTCATCCAACAGCAGGAATGTTTCCACAGGTGGGCGGAAATGTATTGGCCAGGATCTGTTTGGTGACACTAGGGGTGCATCTGTGTAGAAAGGCAGAGGGTGTGTCTGTGGATCTGTGGACTCTCACTGCTGTTATATATGTGAATCAGGAGGATTCCTCTCTCCTTCAGCAATCGGAGGCTGTTGGGACACTTTTCTTTATTCACATCTTATCTTCACCTAATAGACTCCCTAACTGTATTCATGGGCCTCCTTTCCATTACACACTTCACTCATTCATGGATGTTAGACAGGGCTAGGCTCCGAGGATCAACAATGAATAAAACCTGGCTGCTACCATAACTAACTACTCAAGTCATGTGAGCATAACAGACAAGTAAACCATGTGATGAGTTACATGACAGAGGCACACATACATGCAGGAACAGGTGCATGTCGATCAGAGCCAGTGAGAGCCCACACATTAACACCCCACTCCAGCCTTTTACCTACTGAGTAACAAGGAGGAGGGCATTAATGGGCATGGACCAGAACTCTGACTCTTGGGAGAAGGACAGAGAACTACTGCCCAGAAGGGCGAGTGAACCTTTGTTGGGAGACTATTCCAGTATGGATAGTGAAAAAAAAAAACAAAACTAGCTGGAAACCTGAGCCCCAGGCTTTGACCTCAGGGAAGTGGTGTGCTATACAGTCTCCTCTGGCTCAGCGTGCTTACCCATTGTTCTAATCACCTCTTATCTACAGTGGACTCACAAATTGAATTCCTGTTTACACAGTATGTGTGGTCCCAAGACCATTGTTTCTCATAGATGCCTATGAAATATGGTTTTGTACAGTGTGGGGAACAGTGACTGAGAACCTTACAAATATAGGTTGGTCCCAACCCTTGGCTTTGTGATGTCATCAGCACTGAGTTGCATATCTATCCCTGTGGGGCTCATCCTGAGATGGTAACAGTCCAACATACAGAAGTTAAATACTGTTTTGAGATGTAGAATCTTCATGTCTGTGCTGAATCATGAGCTTCAGAGCTGAACCTAATTATATTTATGTTGCATTGACTAGCAATTAGTACTTCTTCTGTTCTAAGAGAGGAAAGAGAAGAAAAAAAATATTAACACGCCTAAATCACAATGAAAGGAAGTGAGTGGGATGCTAGCCTCTGATTTTTGTGGCCAGGCACAAAACTCATGTTTTGCCAGAGAGAGGAAATTAGACATTGTGGCCCAAGATCCTTGGGATGGGGGGTGTGGGATCTCAAGGTTGATCACAACTAGTAGCCAGCCAGCCAGCCAAGCACTCACACAAAATGCACAGCCTCCTAAGGGGGTAGATTCAGGCTTTGGAGAGGCCTAAAATAACATAATTTGGAGGCACTCTTTAAGAAAAACAATACAACATGACAAGTACAAATTAGATAGCAGGGTCTTGGGAGGGGCCTGCATAAGAGGGGGAACGATGAAGCTTAATCCACCTCTAGGCCTCCTCGTGTAAGACTCGGCCACTCCCATCCGCTTTTCCCTGGAGAAGGCAAATGTCAGTCTATTAAGACACAGGGGGTGCGGTTTATGAGCAGAGGCAATAAAAACCAAAGACATAAGACTGTGCCAAATGGTGACTCAAGCGGGATATGAGAGTGTCTGCAAGTATTTGAAGGGTGTCAGCAGAGAGAAGGGAAAAGAATTGTTCACTGTTCTGGGGTGGACAGGGAATGAGGGTGCAACTAAGTAAATAAGAATGTGCACAGAATTCATCGGGAAACAAAGATAACTATATTTTCTGATACTGTGGCATAGCACTTCCCATGGGAAATACTTAAGGATCAACTGAATCACCGAAAACTGACATTGGCCACAAAAATGTGCTAAAGGAAACAATCCTGGTTCATTGGGAGCCCTGAATTCCATAAGGCTGACACATGTGCTCTATAGATTAGTGTGGGGAGCAGGCCAACCAAGGAAAGAGAACAATCCCGAAGGGAGGAGCCGCCACCTCACCCACAGTTGCTGACTGGTGGGGAGCACATGACTAAAGAGGAAGAATCTGAGGAGATGGTGCCACCCAGCGTTGTGATGACTACGGTAGCCAGGAAACCAGCAGCCAATTCCATCATGAGCTGTAACCACAGAATTCCTGCTCCCTGGTTCCAGCGGATAGGGAGTTCTGTCACAATGAATGAAGGGTCATTGGGTGATATGGGAATTATGTCTGGGCACAAGCAAATAGGCTGTTCACATCAGTGTGAGAAGAATAGAGAATATATTGGGTGGCAGAAGTGAGACCCAGAGAGGCTCCTTTGGCTAAAAGGTAGACTAATTCAAACACTCTGAGGAAAGCCTGCCTTTGATTCCCTAAGCTGATGGCACACAGAATGGGAAAAACCTTCACTTGGTTGATGGTGAATCTGGAAAAGTTGGGAGAAGGGCAGGGAATAGAGGGTTTCATTAAATATAAACCCAAAATGAGTCAAACAGGTGTTATTTTAAAATATTGATTTCAGAGAGGAAGAGAGAGGGAGAGATAGAAACATCAATGATGAGAATCATTGATCGGCTACCTCCTGCATGCCCCTACTGGGGATGGAGCCTGCAAACTGGGTATGTGCCCTGACCGGAAGTCAAACAGTGACCTCCTGGTTCATAGGTCGATGCTCAATCATTGAGCAACACCAGTTAAGCCAGGTGTTATCTTAATTCCCTGATTATATATTTTTTCAGTCTGTTCAGCTTTTCACCAATTGTTAGGTCAGAGTGGCGATATACAAGTTCCTTACATGTGGAGCCAGAAACAAGAAGTCCATCCTGGGTATATACTGAGTGTCCTAAAATTACAGATTCCTGGGACTCACCCCAGAACTACTATGGAATCTCAGGATGGGGGTCCAAAAATCTACATCTTTTCCGAAGTTTCAGATAGTTCTGAGGCTTAGTCAGAATGAAGAATTACTGCTCTCAATAAGAGAAATTTATAATCAAGACAAAGTGTTAGGAGAGGGCTACAGTGTGACAAGGACAGAGAGGAGGGAACAGCTCCCATTCATTTTTAAAGAATGAGTGACTTTCACACTAATCTTGATGAGAGGCAGATCACCAAGTAAAAAGGTAATACAGAATGTCTCCCGCCCTTGTCATCCTAATTGGTATGATTTTTGAGGACAGAAAGAACAACATGAACTTCTAGGTGACCAGAACAAGAATATATGCAATCAACACCTTATTCATTTGTCAGATTTTTTTTTTAAGTTTTAGAAACCATCCTGTATAATAAGAGCCCAGCGACCGAACAGCAGAACAACCAGAACAACTGGTTGACCAGTCGCTATGACACTCACTGACCACCAGGGGAAAGATGCCCAATGCAGGAGCTGCCCTCTGGTGGTCAGTGGGCTCCCACAGTGGGAGCACTGCTCGGCTGACCAGGATGAGTGGCACTCCCACAGCGGGCCAATCCCCACAGACCCCCCCCCCCCACTAGTGCACAAATCCTGTGCACCGGGCCTCTAATTTAAAATAAAAATTGCCATTCCTTTGCCTGGAGATCAGGGAGAAATGGTAGATAGCTGTAGCATTGCTGACCCTGGAATTTATTTGTCTCCTATTCTACTCCATCTGCATCCTCACCACATCCTCACCCAACACACACTGACTGCCTTAGCATTCCATGCAAAGGGATGATGTTAATAATCATTAGTAATAATGCTAACTGGAGGGTGGAGACCACCCAAGATACCAGGAAGCTATTTCATATCCATGAGTTCTATGAAGCTCTGACATTGCAGATAATAGAGCTTATTAAAGAGATGGAAAGCCCTACACAAGGGGATGAAAACCTTTGCATCAATAGTGATCCTGTAATATTTGTGTGTCTGCCATAAAATGAAGCCCAATCCATTCACACCAGTTACCTAGGGAATGGCAGTGGGATGGAAACTAAATCATCACTTATTTTGTAAAGAAATGTCCCTCTGTGGGTGCAGGTCTTTGCTTTTCTGTGATTAATCCCAGATCCCCATTGGCAAACGCTCCCACGTAATCTCCCAGAACAGCTGGGCCATGATTGTATTGTCAATTATTAAATGCCCAAGTTTCCTGCAAGGCAGCCTTTAATCATGAGGTGCTCCAAAGAGAGAGAGAGAGAGAAGAGGAGGGATGGTAAGGGGTGGGAGAAGAGGGTGGGAAGGCTAGTTTCCAATTTTTCAACATTAAACCAAAGAGAATTGGAACCCAGATGGCATCCTGCAGTCCTTCCACACAAGCTGCAAGAGTCTGACCATGGCCAAGCTAACTAGCTTCACCCTCCCATTGCTCAGAACATACATTGCATAGTTATTTTGCACCTGATTCTTCAAAGAGGTGTGACTGGCTCACCCATTTGTTGCCTATGTTAAGCCTATGTTAATTACGAGTTTTTCTGTTAACCTATGTTGATGGAAGAATTAGTGACATTTTGGTACCTATGCACTTCCTAATGATCTGAACCCAAGTGTCGGGAAGTCACTCATTGTCCCTTTTCTGTGGAGTAGAATGACGTTGGCATGGGGCTTGTCAGCATATGCAAAGATATAACTTTCCTTATGGCTGCTGCTTCTTCATGATCACCTTAAGGAAACCCCTCAAAAATTAGATTTGTTCTTCCATTCAAGAGGTATGTGGATCCTGGAAGCGGGGGGGGGAAGGCATATTGTGGGGGAAAAATAAAATATGTGATGAGAAGTACGGTACTATAGGTGTCAAAGATAATTCTTGAATGAGGGTCATCATATCTATCCTTGGTGGACACTCCTTCTGAAAGCAGCCTCATTGCGCTTCATTCCAAGCTCTTTTCATCTTTTGTTTCTCAAATCACCTTTCCTTAAATTCGTTGTCACTTTGGTGCTGCAAAGTGGTTGTACATGGTGTGGGGTTCATTATTCTTATTTCTGAATAACCTGCAGAACTTAAAAATATGTGTAAATTGAAATGGAGCAAGGGTACAATTGAAATCTGATGTGATATGATGATGATAAACTAATTTCCAAGCCTCCGAAGACTGAAAATAAAGTTGTTGAAAATGTAGAATTGCCTAAATCCTTAGACAAAATGATTAATGAAGATGTTTTATCTGGAAGTCAATTTCCTATTCAGGCAATGAACAGGAAGATAATTAGAAAGGGTAACTCATGTAACAGAATAATAACTAAAACCAATAGGATTTCCATGACTAAAAACAACATTAAAACATTCTTTTTTTTTTTTTTTTTTTTTTTTTTGGTGGGAGGGTGGCAGGTGGGGGTGATGGGCCAACATATGATTCCCATATCTAGCAATAGAAGATGTTTCTCCCTTCCAGGTGCTGTGGTTTTTTTAGTCCTTACCAAGGTCACCCAGAGTCTTATACAGTCTGACAGTTCTTGGTGGATTTAATTTGTTTTGAGTGCTTAAAAAAACACACCGAATTAGCAGATTGCTTTCCAGAAACAGTTTATCATGTTTTGTATATTGGTTTTTATATACATAAGAGCCTTGTGTATTTCTTATTGCCATAAAATAATCCACGTTTTGTCTGTAGCCTGCACTGTTTTAGTCCCTGGAAAGTCTAAAGAACAAACTGTTATATTTCTGAGATAAAGTTCTCTGTTAAATGTAGAAAATGTTAAGCTGGAGATGATGAGAGAGGCAGATTAATGGGCCTATCCCATTTAGCTATGGTTTTATTTACGTCTCTTAAGCGAAGCAGATTTGGGTCTGATTAATTCTGCTATGAGAGATCCCCTGGAAAGCTCAAGATGGTTTACTTTAAGAAGCATCTGTCAGCAGCTAAGTATGGGCTTCCTTTCCATTCAGAACGTATTAACACAATAGTATAAACCATTCCATTACACAAAGTGCAAGACCTGTCAAATTTATTTTTGTTAAATCTGGCTCCAAGCCACCACTCCCCAAAGTTGAAATGTCTAGCATTGGTCATTCTTCAAATAGCCCTTCTCTTAGACTAAAAATAACAAGGTCAGGGGCTCCCACCAGAGCCACACGGGCCACGGACGTTTCTGCTGCCACACCCTGTGTCCCCGCTGTGAGTCGAGCAGTGCCCCTCCACCAGCCAAAGTCACCCTTTCCGTGGCTCCATGGCCTCGGCACTTGGTGCGCAGCCTCCATGGGCACCAAGCAGCCATCTCCCATTTGATTCCTGCATCTCAGTGGCCATGGATGGAAAGCTGGACCCAGATAACCAGGTCTCTCAGAACCCGCAGCTCCCTCTGCTCTCCATCCCAGTGGGCCCACTGTTTCCTTTTATCCTCAAGGCCCCACCCCTGTGATCCAGTTAATCATTGGCTGATAGGACACATCCCCCCACCCTCCCTTTCCCCTCTCAGAGGAACCTATGATGCAGGGAAGAGGACAGGGAAAACTCAGTTACCATAACAGACACCTCAGCGAGTCAGTGCTACTAAATGCAGTGTTACCTTTCAATGCAGACAACACCAAAAATGATGACCAGCAAGAGCATTTAGAGTGTTCCCAATTCTTTTTCCCAACCTGATCTATAGCCTAGCCTCAGTGGCTTCATCCCATTCTGACTGAGATATTCTCTGATGGATGCCTCCTCGGATCATCCTCAGTAAGCATTTTAGTATAATACGGTCCGGCTTAAATAAACATCATCGCTAGGGTGTCTGCCCCAGGCCAGCTGAAGCCCACCTTCCACACGGCTCTTTGGAGGGAACTCAAAGCGGCTGGTGGCACCGGCAGGTTGGAGGAAAGGGGCCTGAGCTTAGGGAGCCGCGGGAAAGGGTGTCCAGATCTCCCAGGAGAGTCTGAAAGCAGGCTCTCCCCTTGTCTGTCTGTTACAGATGGAGCTCCCGAAGGTCTTCTCTGGCCAATGGACATTCCTATCTGCCATCCTCAACCTGCTATCACTCGGCCTCTCCTCAGCATTCCTGCTCAGCAACTCCTGGTTTGTGGACACACAGAAGGTGCCCAAGCCCCTGTGCAGAGAAGGTCTGGCAACCAAGTGCTTTGAGCTGCCAGTGCCCTTGGATGGGGGCAGCAGCGGCACATCATCCCAGGAGGTGGTGCAATGCACCTGGGAGACTGGGGATGACCGCTTCTCCTGCCATACCTTCCGGAGTTGCATGCGGCTATCCTGTGAGGAAACTGTGGAAGAACCAGGTAGACTCCTCATCCCCAGCTGCCTGACCACCTCCTTCCCCCCATGGGACCTTATAGCCCTCTCCCACACCATGTCGGCCTCACCCCCAAGCTCAGCATTTCCCACCACTGTACTGTGTGCTTTCTCTTTAGGGAACCCCCTTTTAATAAGGATGAAAGTCCATCTGGCTTTTCACTTCCTGCCTGTCTAGTAGACTCATTGGGTTAAAATAGCATTACCCTTAAAGGGTTCCATTTAGACTTTCAACAGTATAAGGATTTCCATTCTAGCAAACTGAAGTTGCTGTTTAGAAACAAAAAAGGAGAGATGATATTACAGGAACAGCCTTGTTCTGCCCAGTTGTGACCTTATCGGGATAACTTCATTTCTATGGGCCTCGATTTTCTCATCAATGAGATGGATCAGAGTAGATCGCCCTTAAAGCCCCTTCCTTTCCCTCCCTCCTGAAAAGGGTTTTCTCATTCTAAGTATCTATATATATAAAAGGCTAATATGCTAAGCTGTTCGACCGGTCGCTATGATGCTCACTGACCACCAGAGGGCAGATGATCAATGCAGGAGCTGCCGGGACAGACACTGGCCATTTACAGACCTGGTGCCGACAAAGCAACACTCGGCTTCCCCCAAGTGGGACACAGGTCTGTCACCACCCTGGAGCGACAGCCCATCAAATTGCAGCCAATGCTGTCGAGACCCCCATGGTGCAAAATGCAGCCCACAGCCCAGCCCAGCCCAGCCCAAAAACGGTGGCTGTGGGCACCGGGTAATGATATCACGTAGCAACGCCCAGCTTCCTCTCCCTAGTGACTAGCCTCCTTGGAGTTTCTTCAGCCCAGGACACAACTTGCTTTAGAGACAGGTGCAAACATTTCACACTTTAACCAAATGTCTATGAAGCATTTTCACATGCCTCATCTCATTTGATCCTCACAGAAGTCCTGGAGTAGGTAGATAGGAGACTAGGTAGAATCCTATTTTCTTTACATTAACTGGAAAACAGAGATTTAAAAAGTTTAGAAACCTGACCCAACTAAAAAGAAGTAAGAAATGGTGGAACTTGAAAATGACTTCAGGTTTTCTCACTGCACAGAATATAGTCAAACACTGCTACAGTTAAATATTTCACCCTTTGTTCTACCACATGATCTATAAGACTAATCTGCTTCATGTTGATATTTACTGCTGTGTTGCTGACAATTACCTGAAAGAGAAGTTGGGGTGCCTCACTGGGCTGGAAAAGGTTTAGCTAAATCAGAAAGCAGGTCACTGGTGCCAATTGAATGCATGTCTTTCCATCTGTCATTGTCGATCGTGAATTTGGTTGACACTTTTATTATAGAGAAAGAGCGAATAGCAATACTAAAATATTTCTTCTAATTAATTTCCTTTCAATGTGCACGAATTTGTGCACCTGGCCTCTAGTTACTTGTAATGTTGAAAGCAGGGTAATTGAAGCTCAGAGAGAGTAATTAGGCCCTATAAGGATGTCAGGACTCCAGTGTCAGCATGCACCCTCACCCCTGGTCCTCAGGTTAGAGCAATTAGGTCGAGATCACCCTCCCTGCTTCCTGCTCAAAGCATTCAAATGTCACCTGGTACTGAAGCTTTTCTAAAGCCCCAAATCACAGACAATTTGCAATATTCTCCTTCTCCTGGCTTGGGCTAAGGGGAAAAGGAGCCAGAAGAGGAATATAAATGTGTATTGTGCCACTTAATACCACTCCAACCCCAGTCCCTAAACAATTTAGAGCCATTCAGACCAGTGGGACCACCTCAGCAAATGGCCTGGGTTAACACTGGAGTCATTAACTCTTCCTGGGGTCATTAACAGGAGCAAGAACATTTCCCTCTCAGGGTAACATTGTCATCTTCATTATCAGGAATTGAGAAATTAATTTCGGGTGACTCTTGTCTATGCCATTCATTCTTCCATGCATTCTTAACTACTTTCAAAGAGCCGTTTACTGCCTGCCTACTGTCTGCTGGGCAGGCACTGCGTCAGAACAAATGGAGTGGTGTTGGGTATGGGACTGGGGACAGATTTCCTCCCAACTGTCCAAGGAAGCACCTCCAAGAAACTGACCCTTGTCTGTTTCAGGGAAGAAATGCCGACGTTCCCTTGAACTCACACCATCAACCAAGAGAGGTGAGAAAGGACTACTGGAATATGCCACGTTGCAACGCCTACATCACCCCACTCTCCGATATGGAGGGAAGCGGTTAATGGAGAAGGCTTTCCTCCCCCACCCTCCCTTGGGGCTTGTGGCAAGTATGTGGGTTTGATAACAAATTTAGTTGCCATTGAGTTTTGGGGCTTCTCTGGATCCAAATCGTACCGTGATCTCCCGCTTTTCTCTTCTTCTGAGCTCCCAAGGGCTGACACAGATTCCTTCTAGAGCTGCCTTTCATTCACATGCAGGCATGCAAGGAAAGAAACAGCAGGGACAAATCAAGTTCACAAATAGAAAACCACAGCTCTGACCTACTCCTGTTGCCAAGTAACCATGTTGAAAAGCTTAGGTTTTTCCTTTTTTTCTCCAATAATATTTTTGTGTCTGTGTAAAATAGAAGGAAAAGGGGAGGCCTGGAGGGGGGGAAGAAACAAAACTGGCTGTCCAAAATTAAGAAAAGAGAAAAAACAATGATAAATAGCAAAGCCTATTACTGCAAGATTTCAATGACTTCTCAAATCTCTCTAACAGTATTTACAGCCAATCAATTCTACTTGATTATATGTTGGGGACCGAGTAGAGTGAGAGCTGTGGGGTGCTAGAAAAAGAACCCCAAATGAAGGAATGTTCCCAGCTGGTTTCAGCTTTGTCTCACCCTCCCCGTCTCCGATGCTGCAAGGCTTTTCTCTTTCAATAGGCACCACCTAATTTCCCACCTGATGGTTCACCGTCCAGTTATCTAACTGGCAGGGTGAGTGTGCCTCTTCCTCTGCTTTCCGACAGAGATCCTATGGCTATTACTGGGAGCCCGGTTTGCCTGCATCAGACTTGAACTCATCGGTTTCCTCCTCCTATTAACGGACTTGCTGTTGCCCGGGAACCCTGGCTGCGGGCTCAAGCTGAGAGAGTCTTTGCCGCTATCTCCTCTGTCATGTCAGGTGAGCGCCCCAAGGCTGGAGAGGGTGGGTGTCCTCTGCGCCCTCTGAAGCACTAACTGGCTGGCTGGTCTCTGCCCTGAGGAGAGGAAAGAGGAACCTTGGGCGGGGTGTGTGTGGGAGGGAAGAGGTATGAGCTACATTGCAAGCGTTTTCCATCTTAAATTGAGTTAACATGTGAAATGTCATCTTAGATCATGATGTACCTTGTGAAATGGTTTATCCCTAGGTTCTTTTTCTTTGCAAATGCCTCGATGTGTAAATTAGCTTGGTTTACTTTTCCATTGTGACACACAGAGCTTTTCAAGACTGTTGGCTGAAGTAAGAGATGCATATATCAGATCAAGAAAAAAGCTCACATTGGGGGTATGGGTGGAGAGAAGTCAAGGGGAATGTAGCCCTGAGTGCAGCATTGACTCGGACGTTCTCCATAGCTCTAAAGTCTGGGGCAGCCTGATGCAGAAAGTCCCCCTGCATTCAGGGAGTCTCCCTGACAGATTCGTCTTCCCGGACCTGTGGCTGCACCTGATACACAATGAGAAGGTTGCTATTAAGTCTCTAGTTCCCTGTAGATGGCAATGTCAGCCTTTCTCTAAAGGTGCTGCCTTCCTGCTCCCTCTGTAGGCCTTCTGGGGATGGTGGCCCGCATGATGTACTCACAAGTCTTCCAGGCAACTGCCAACTTGGGTCCAGAAGATTGGAGGCCACATGCTTGGAATTATGGGTGGACCTTCTAGGACAGTGATGGCGAACCTTTTGAGCTCGGCGTGTCAGCATTTTGAAAAACCCTAACTTAACTCTGGTGCCTTGTCACATATAGAAATTTTTTGATATTTGCAACCATAGTAAAACAAAGACTTATATTTTTGATATTTATTTTACATATTTAAATGCCATTTAACAAAGAAAAATCAACCAAAAAAATGAGTTTGCGTGTCACCTCTGACACGCATGTCATAGGTTCGCCATCACTGTTCTAGGAAGTGCTTACCATCATCTCCTGAACCTTTGGCCCCTCCCCAGCCAACTTTCATTAGATTTGCTTCCCTCACATAAACACTTGCTTTGTGTTCTTCTACCTGCTCTTCACCTCTCATCCCAGAAGCCTGTCAATCAAACAGAGGGCTGGACCATCAGGCCACACCCATTCTTCCCCCACCTTCTGAACAGGTACAGAGAGGGTTCTAGTTTGTTTTGTGAGGCTGTTGTCTTGCCCAGTTTTTCTGCTGGTACAACTGTTGCAATTTACCTGGTAAGTATGTTGCCCTTGGGAAACAAGACTGATTGTGTATGGCTTATGGAAATGATGCTCTATGTTTTATATTTTTTATGACTTGAGGTATTAGAGGACAGAGAAATGGTCAATTGGCCTTGAAATTTGGATTGAATTCTATTCCCTGTGAATGGCTTATTCTTCTCCTGTAATGAAGACTAACTTCTTCCTACCTCCATTCTGATTCCACCAAACTGTGTTAGAAATAAAACTTCCCCTACAGTCATTCTCTAAGCCTTAGAAAACCATGACAAAACAAATATAGTCAAGGTAAACATCCCCTTTGCTTAAGAGTTCCTCACTTTCTCCCTTGAAGCACATGCTCGGTTCTGGCACAGGGGCAACCTGAACTGACAGTAACTATTTGGATAGTGCTATGGACTTTAACAGTGCTGAAAAGATGCAGCGCCAGCTCGAGTTTCTACGCTAAAGCAGGCAATATGGAAAGCTCCACATGTCGTTACAAGATTCTATCCCTTTTCTCGCTGCATAATACATGCTATTTGATTCAGGCTGGGTCTTTGGTCTACTTCTCCAGCCACCATATCAGTTTAGCTCATTTCCCAGACTCATTGTTTCTCATCTTTGCCTGTCTCCAAGCCATTGCTGGCCTTACTATAGAGCTCAGACTGCAAAACTCTCATCAGAAGCCTCCCCAGCCTGAGTCTACTTTGTCCACCCGTAATTCCAAGCATGTGGCCTCCAGTCTTCTGGACCCGTTGGCAGTTGCCTGGAAGACTTGTGAATACATCATTGGGGCCACCACCAGAGGCTGCAGACAGGAACACGTAGTACCAGCATGTGGCCTGGCTTTAACCATCCCTTGGACTCATGAAATCTCTCACTAACCTCACACAACTTCCTGTTTCCTGGGCCACCCAGAATCACAGGGAGATTTAGGATTTGACTTTCCAAGTTTTTAGAGCCGTGTCTGATAAACTTCCCTGATGTTTTTTCTTCTTTATTGAATCCATCCAGCTTCCCTTCATCTCTAGCATCTCTTCCATCCATTATAAACTCCCTAAAGTCGAGAACCAAATTGTTTTCATAATAGGCAAATCCCACTTAATGCAACCTGTTAATACATCCAAATTTGTAGTAAGTGCTTCCTGAGGGCCCTTAAAACTGCTAAGCTCAGAACAAGGGAAGAGGGAGGAGAGATGATCACTCCAGCATCCGAGTGAAGGAAAATCTTTGGCAGAGTGTGTGTGGGAGGGGAGGGGTCAGGGAGAAGTGGGCAGGGAAGTATTACAGTGGGTGGTGCAGGTCTATGGAGTCTTGAAGATTACACAAGGGTAACTGCAGCTTGAGAAACAGTAGGCAACAACGCTAAGTGTGTGTGTTTATATACAAAAAATAGGCACACCACGTATAAACAAGCACAGTATTAACAAGTAATCAATTCCGTGAAAAGGAATCCGCTCAACTCCTTGTCTGCCTTTTTTTTAAATTTCTTTATTGATTAAGGTATTAATACTACATGCGTCATTCTCTTTTACTACGAAACATGCGGAGTGTAACCTACTACGACAGACCAAATTAAGTCCTTGTACCCATAGTTCTTTCCCTGCTGCACAGTGGAAGACAGCAGTCATGTCCCTAAGTCCCTAAGAGGCATCAGCCTAGTTTACTAGTAAGGAAGAGATCAGGGCATTTTTCTTTCAAACCTGTAAGAAAGATTCCGTGTAAATTTTTTTTGTATGTTTGTTCCTAGTACAGCCCGAATTTCCTTCACCTGCTGCATGGCATCAGCTGTCACCACCTTCAAGACGTACACCAAGCTGGTGCTGGAGTTCAAGTGCAAGCACAGGAAGAGCTTCAAAGGAAACCTGAGTTGCCTGCCACACCATCACTAGTGTTTCCTCCAACCGCTGCCAAGTGCAGCCCACACGGGGGCCCTCTGACCAGCTTCCACCAGAACCACAATCAGGCCAGCCACCCTGTCTCCGAAGGAGTTGACTTCTACGCAGAGCTACGCAACCAGGAATTCCAACAAGACACCAGCCAGGGGCTACAAGAACTGGCTGGGCCTCCTGTAGAAGAATAGTGTTAGGAGTAAGTGGGTTTGGAGAGCAGGCTGAGCCCCACCTTACATGCTTGTTGTCAACACGTGCTTAAGCCGAAGTCTGTTTCTTGAGCATGGTTTTTAGAGGTTAAGGACAAGGGTATGTCCAAGTACAAGTACAAAGTGTTTGTGTGGGGCGTGCCGGGTGCCACTGCTCCCTTTCCCTTCACAGCTCAATCTTTCACTGTCTATACCTCACGCGTTCAGATTCGTTCTCTCCTTTACTCATTGCTTGTTATGAGCTGGGTTCTGGGCTAAGCAATGGAGATAAAAAAAAAAGAGGAGTAAAATGCAGTTCTTGCCCTTTAGGGGCTTATCAATCTGGTCATCTGTCTGGGGTTTGGAGGAATGGAGGTGGGCAAATCAGCAGTCGATGATTGTGGCTCAATTATGCATGGTGCACTTGAATGTCCTGGAAGTCACAGAAGGAAACGAAAGCAATCCTAGGGGCTGTGACATGTAGATGTCCCTCACACTGCCTCTTTCATGCTCTGCCTCCACACAGTGGACACCCAATGAAAGTGTAATTAAGTATGATCCTAGAAGCCAGTAGGAGATGAGTGTGGATGAGAAGGCTCCAACGACATGCAGGGACAGGCCCACTTCCAGAAATGGCCCACTGAGGCTACTGAGGCAGGACCATGCCTCCCCAGTGGAGAAACACACAGGAGAATTCCCCAGTGAACAGGCTGCGGGCTGTGCTCCTCTCTCGATCCCCACCTTCTCACCCATCCACAGGGGAAAACAAACCATCCTTGATAGTTAAGAATGAGAATGGCACACAAGTATGTTCCTATTCATGGTATTTATTTGTTCTGTAACAGTTCACATTTATTTATTTTTAAATCCTTATTGTTGACGGTATTACATATGTCTCCTTTTCCCCCCATTGACCTAACAGTTCACATTTTAAATAGTACTTCCTGACAACACACCAGCTGGCTCTTCTTTAACATGGGCAATAAGGACAGCAATTCACATTCAAGGGCAGCAGACACCGTCTGGGGGGTGGAGAGGGTTTCTAAGGGAAGGAAAGAGGAGAGACTGGGAGGAGAAAGACCCCTGCACTTGCAGAAGCCAGTACTATTTCTAGGGAACTGTCACATTGGCCTTGCTGGCAACCCCATGTTGGAAATGAAGAATGAAATCTGGGTGGGTGGTTGCCTGAGAGGAAAAGTTGTTTAGAGACACACTGAACAAGAAACCCGCAGCCACACTGGTCAGATGAAGCTTTCACCATCTCTGCCACCATTTACACCTCCTGTACTGGCTGCAAGAGGGAGAGGAAACCTAGAGCTTGTACCATGTTTAGCAAAGAGAGTCAAACTTATCATAGTAAAAACAATCTATGTTAATTTGCAAACACACCATGAAGAATTTAGGGGCATTATGTTTTTCTAGCTTCCTCTTACATTGTTTCTGGGATTCACCCAGCACAACTACCTAAAACAATCCCCCTAAACCAGGTCCTCAGAAAACAACTTCACATGTTACTCCTGCCTAAAGGCCTCAACATGGATAGAGAACCAGGCTGAGGCCCACATGGTCCTCAGCCCAGGCTGCAGGACCACCACCCAAGTTTTAGGTATTCTGTCAACTATAAATGAGTCTTAGAATTCTCTACTAGACCTTACTCTCTTCTATCCAGGTAGATTCAAACCCTAGAAGTACATCTGGAATCATCCCCAGACTCCTGGGTATACTGTTAATGGTCCCTCAAGTTTGTAATAAGCTTGACCTACTCGTGCCCCAACACATGCCTTCCAAAGTGTTGAAACCAAATTTGCTTTCACAGACTTAAGGCAGCAAGGTGCCCAGAAACCTATAGCAAGGCCAACCTCAGGCCAGGCTACATGCCTGAGGGGAGCTATTGCTACCAACCTTCTGTGATGTCATAATGCCTAACGGGGTAGTTACTATCCTATCCCATCAATGTAGGCTCCCTAATTTTCTGTAATCTCTCTCTATTCTGAATTCCTTTATTAACACAAGTTAAAAAATACGGCCTCAAGTAAAGAGAGAACCCGAGTGGCACTCAGAGATGACTTATCGAAACTATTCACGAGGGAAAGCAGTTCTCCTCCAGTTAACATGGGATCTCGGCTAAATAAACATGACCTAGAAGTTTAGGAGAGAACTTAGTAGAAGAAGGGAGAACCACTGGAGAAAATTCTAAAGAACTTAACCAATTATAAAAGTTACAGTATTTACATAGGAGTTTTTCTCAAAATACAATGCTTCAAAGATTCTACCAGAAAAGAGGTGTGCAGGGCAAAAGAGATGCATCCTGGGCTCAGGAGCAAGAGGAAAGGTCCAGAAACAGCTCTGCTCTCATGCAAGCAAAGCAAAAATATCCCTGAATAAAGGAGAGCAAAAGAGAAGCGGTAAGGAGGAAATGCTAAGGAAGCAGAGTAGAGATGAAGCAGAGAGGAGCGGATCTGCCTCAGTTGTTCCCGACTTCAGTTTTCCTCGATGTTGAGGACAGCATACATATAAGCACTTTCAACGTTACTGCAGTAAAAAAGACGAGGACCGGCAGAACAATTAAAACCACAGGGTAACGTGGACCTCATCATTGCTCCCCTTCTGATGGGAATATGGTGGTTCTATGGTCGGTCAATATATAGATGTGGGAAGGGTGAGGAGACAGGATACATAAGGCCTGGCTCCCACTATCAGTCTTTCTCACTCTGCTGAGGTTGGGAAAAAGCCAAGGAACAGGTGGGGAAAGTATGAGGAGAGGAATGATGAGTGGCCCTGATCATCAGAGGCAGGCCTCTGGAAGCCTCAAGATGACCAAACAAACCAGATGTATTTCAGGACAAGAAGATGTATTTCAGGACAAGAAACTGAGTCCCTGGAGCTTAGGACATAGCTGAAAACCACACACATATGGCATGATGCAAAACAAAATGCTCCAGTGAGGAACTTCCCTGGAATCTCCCAGCAAGAGTTTATAAGTTAGACATACAAAAACCAAAACAATTATTAGATTCACATTTCCAAATTATCCACACAGAGTGCCTAGAGGTGGGGGGTTAATGCACAGGTTGAAAAAGTAGGTGAAACACCCCGACCACATGGTTCGTGCCGTTACTGAAGAACTCCAACGTGCCTTCCAAAGTGCTCTGCCACCACCACGCAGAGGTGGCGAGAGGAGGTTGAAGAAGTCTTCCCTCTCTCCAAAGCACTGATGTTATACTGACAGGAGAGAAACAGCATCCGTTCTGCTCACTTCTTCTTAAACTAAAGGCTGCATCCGACTAGATCTAGGGGAAAGGTGCAAGTATCAGTGGCTGGAATTTTCTTCATGCTACAGAAATGGAGGAAACCTAAAGGTCAGAATACTCCTCTATTTTCCTGTCCTTCTGTGCAGCTCCAACAGCTCATAAGTGTCCCTCCATAAAGACCCAGAGACTTGCTCTTTTTTCCATAATAAGCTCTTCAATATTGAACTAGACCACAGATGAGGGTTTTAGCATTTGAGCAAGGTAATTCTATGTAACTGCCACAAACCCAGCATGTCAGCATCACTAGCCTCTACCCAGAAAACACCAGTAATATCCACCCCCCTTGGTCACTGGGACAATAAAAACTATGGCCCCACCAATGTCCCTTAAGGGAGGTGGTACCATCTCCCTCTGAAAAGAACTGAGCATCATTTCTCAGTGGTAATGAAGCACCCTTAGAGAATAACACTGGTCTGAAACAACTGGTTCTTGACACCCAGCTACTCAAGAGGCTCCCATTCTCTCTCTTTTCTAAAGAGCACTGTTGAAGCTGGTAGAATTTGTCCTAAACCCTCAATAGGAACCAAATATTTGTGTCAGAAGCTATTCACCTGCAAGGGAGAATCAACAAACTTGATCCTAGAGAGGAATCGTCGCAGCTCCCCACGGCCAATTTTGGGGGTGGTCTCCTTGAGCTGGACCATTTGGCCCTCCATCAGTGCCCACCGCAGACTAAGCTTGCTGACCACCAGGGGTGCTGGATGGCCTTTGGAGCTTGGCCCCGTTGTCCTGGTAACATAAAAGGCATCTTTCCAGAGGTCGTTAATTCCAACTGAGGAAGGACAAAAACAAGAGCAGTTAACAAGGACAGGAGACTTCCACTAACAGAAGAGTGGTTTGGTTCGGCAACCAGATTCAATCGTTCATTTACTCCTTCAGTAACTCATACAAGAAGTTTATTGAGCACCTAATAGATGCAAGGCACTGAGCTAAACGGTGGGGTGTAGTGGCGAAGGGCTGGATGCCAGCAAAGCAACACATTCTTCTCAGCTTTTGTACCATAGTTTCTCTCTCTCTCTCTCTCTTTTTTTTTGTCTCACAGGTATGTTTATTCATGCCAGCAAGGAAAGGACACTTCTAGATACGGAGTGTCCCTCGTCCCCATCTAACAGCCAAGGTGTATGCGAGCTGACGCTCCCCCGCTGCGCCATCTAACAGCCAAGGTGTATGCGAGCTGACGCTCCCCGGCTGAGAACTTGGCTCAGCTGCTAGTGATGACCTTGAGCATCCAGGGGACTTGAACCAGAGTTTTAGCTTTTTCATCCCCACTCCTGATCTTGTACACGATGAGGCCCATCAGCCCCATCCTCACCCAGATCTCCTGGTAAACCTGGGGGTAGTAGGGATTCATGGGGACCCACACATTTTTAATGAGGCTCTGAAACATCTCGCCACAGGACCAACAGCTCGGGCTGCTGTGACCCGCACAGCCAGCTACTCGGGAAGGTCACCGAACTGTACCATAGTTTCTCTTCAGCTGCTTCTAAGAAAGCCCCAAATCAGGAAACGAGAGGCTATACCAACTATGGTGCCAATTTGGTAGAAAAGTGAGCACAACAAGCTAGAAACTCTGAGAATTCCTAGATTGTCAGCACATGATCATATAAGCTATTACCTAGCCAGTGTTTATTTCGCCTCATCTTTAAAATATGTGTTGTAATAAAAATGGTCTTGATTCTTGATTACCATTAT